TGTAACTTTTCTTTTGCAACGTTTCTATTTTCTCAGTTTAAATCCACCTCACAGGGTCTATGACGTGTACCAGAAGGTGGGCTACAACTGCTTCATCGCAGCTGCTATGTATCTAGTGTGTGGACTGTTCTCCTTCTGCCAGATGAAGCTCAATCAGAAGAAGGTGAGTTAATGCTTCTGACTTTTTACCTTGCAGGCAGTTGAATTTATTTTGGAAGAATCACAGGATCTCGATTACAAGAGACTCCATCTCGTCAAGCTGTTTGCTCTTAGCCAAACAACGTTGTTCAGTTGAACAATTTGATCCAGTTAGTTTCTTTTGAGGTAGTACTGGAGATTGAGATGGGTCAGTCCATGAAAAATCCATAAATGCTTCCCATGTAACTGTCCCAGACATCAACTTTAAAAAATCCCATGGAAAAAGACTTTTGGGCATCCTTGACGTGATTCTGGTAAACTGTCAGATGACTCAGGACGGGGAAGCATTGATCTACCCACGCAGTATACACTGCAGAGGGGGCATTGCTGACTTCAGTTGAGAAATACTGAAAGAACCTCTTTATCCCGCTGACACGCCTTCCATAGAGGAGGCAGAGTCTTTGGACGAGGGTGACGTCACTCAGGCAAGTTAAAGGATGAGGTCGGCCCGAGTTCATGAAGCCTCTGAATGTTGTAGGCCTGTCTTTGTCGGTGCACCTTTGCAATGCTGCATGGAGATCAGGGGTGGTACTTGTTGGTTCCCATCTTTAAGAAGGGGGTCCGGAGGGTGTGCTCCAAATATCGGGGATCACAGTCATCTTTATTCCCCTGGGTAAGCTGGAGGAGGTGGCTGGGCAGAGGGAGGTCAAAGCTTCTCTGCTTAGGATGCTACATTCGTGACCTGGCTCTGGATAAGCAGAAGAGTATGGAGGGAGAGTTTGTCTTTTTTTCTCCTGCAGCCCTGCATGTCCTCTTTGCAACAGTCATGAGGTTCACGTCATCAGTTATTCTTCTTCTGCACCTTTCTTTTCTACTTTTGTGTCCAAACAGCTCAACCATCTGTACGTCCTCTGATTTTATGGAAATGATGGAAGACAACTAGTTCAAAATTCCTTTGAAGAAGTAAAACAACCAAAAACAAGCCAGAGACATGAGTCATGATGAGTTTATGGTCTTTCTCTGGTTTTAAGCGTTATTGAATGTATTATGTCAGTTAAACAAATAGGACTTTTATTTAAGGTCAAAGAGGATTAACTATAGTTTGCTTTCTTGTTTTATTTATAAACTGATGGTTTATTGCATTTGCTACAGTTTCTCATTTCTGCTCCTCTGTGTTGTTCTTCAGGAGTATCTCGTGCAGTAGCGCCACCTGGTGGAAGGATACCCTCCAAGCAGCCCACTGACAGCAGGGACGGCTGTGTTGATTCTGTCTTCTTTCTTCTGTCTCAGGATTTCAGGGACCTTGTCAAAGGGGACGAGGTCGGACACTTTGTCGCCAAAGTGCTGCTCATAGTTGGGTTTTTCTCTGTATCTATGAAGCGCCTTTTGTTGTGATTTGGCGCTATATAAATAAAATTGAATTGAAATTGAATTGAACAAAAAGTAATTTGACTTGTTAATTCTAAGATTACCTCTGATTACTGTGTTATAACTGTTTGATTACACGAGTCAGATCGAAATAAAAGCTGTAAAACACTTTGGTGTACTTCTTCTTAAATCAGAGAGTATGTTTGTAATCCTTATCAGTGACCACATGACTGTGTTGGGAATGTTGATAATGAAATAGCGCCTTTTAAATCCTACGTTTACCTTTTCTGTTCCCTGGAGGACGTCCAGCTGTCTGCTGTAAGCAGACTTACTGTATCCAGCGTGTTCTTCCTATGGTGAGCGTCACAGTGACCCACTCTTCACCTAATGAGTTATGCAGTAATCTTACAGTTGTACTGAAGCCACAAAGTACACACAACGGCTGTAGCTATTTGTTTATTTCTCAACATTGTAAACACATGGATATATCAGGATGTCTTGCTTTAAGCTTCATAATATGTTTTAAGTAAAAAAGTTAAACATTGAAGTT